TCAAGCCTTCGGATGCGCAAGTGCAGATAGCTGTTCGAGACTCCATGTTGAAGCAGTTTCCGGTAGTGTCTGGGCAGGTGTACAAGGATGAGTAGCTCCCCATGGAAGCCCCTTTTGGGCGACATGCTTGGTGTCTGGATGATATGTGGGATGTGTTGGACAAGCGTGCGTTCGCACACACGCCGGTGGTGTATGGAGATGATTTCTTTTCGGTATCTTCCACGAATGCTTGAAGCTCGTCTGCTGTTTGGCGTGCTGTAGCTTCTTCGGCGTTGCGTTCGACGGTGACCCCTTCGTGGAGCCAAGCTTCTTCGGCCGCCGTGATGAGTGTTGACCCTCTACCTNGACTGGCCGTTGCAAGGACACTTCCAAGAGGTGTACAACGTCGCTAGTGAGATGGCTCTAACCAAGAATGATCCGCCATTGTTCACCCCCTTGGTCTCGGCTGAAGAGCGCCGCAACGCGCTCCGACTGTACAAGTGCAAGTACCTCAACTGCTTGGGAGAAGACCACTCCTTCAAATCCTTTAATCGTGGTTTCGTGAACGCCACCGGCTTGCTTAACAATGACATCAAGTTCTGTGTGGAAAACAATCCCACCCTTTGGAGTCGGTGGAAAAAGCGCATGACCTCGTATAGACGCCCTACAGGACGCAACCCACATCGAAATCACCCCTTAGGACGCGCCCGCCGCTCATCTGACACATCGGACACGAAACAGTCCTCACACACAGAGCACTCGTCGGACGCTTCCACTTCGACAAAAAGGGGCTGGAGGGGTAAGAAATGACAAGCCGATGGCGGAGTTCAGCCGGTACTACCGTCAACAGCAACCACCGTGCACCCTTTTGGAGTCTCCCAAGATGTTCGTGTACAGCCTATTTCTTTGGATACTCCCCACGCTCCTAAATCACATCTAGTTTCTCGGCCCGCCTCCTCGTCGTCCGCCTCATCGCCTGCTGGTAATGGACATGACAGACCCATTTCGGCAGTACCTTTGTGGTGTGGGCGACAGGGAGGTAAGACGTCGAGCGGTCCATCCCTGCTCACCTCGTCGTCTCGGGTTACAGAAGGAACAAGAACCTCGTCTTCTACTATTCGTCAAGACTCTCCTGGTGTTGTCAGCCGGGCCTCTTCTCGGATCGCACACGAGCCTTCTTCTACACTCGTCGGGAACCCCGTCGATCCTCCTTCTCTTTCGCAGCTTTCGTTGTCTTCGACCGTCCGCTGCCCCCGTGTGACAGCACCTGATACGAATGCGTCTTCCTCTGCTGCCCACCACGTGCTGACTGCACCACTGCCATCGGGATCGGATGGTAGTGCCCACCATTCTGTGGAAGGTTCGGCTCCTTTGTCAAGGGGGAGTAGTCAAGAGCGCCCTGCGTCAATGATCAAACATCCGTCTGTTGCAGGAATGACTTCTCCTAACGAACGGGTCTCTAATAGCCGAATGGCCTCTGCTAACATTGACCCCGCCGGAGCCGCCGCCCTAAGGCCGCCCTCCGGATCACGGCGCGTTGCGACTTCGCCCGCTCCTGCCTCGCTTTCTGGGTCCTCCCCGTCGGAGAAGAGGACCCGTCCGCCTGGTCCACCCCCGCCTGTGCCTGGTGCCCGCTCTTTGCCCCTTCGCCCTGCACCGGCTCCGCCGTTTGATGACAAGTGCGAGTACGCTTCGGATGACGTCCTTCTTTTCTGGAAACCTCCGTCTGTGTTCTCTCAATGGACTCCTTCGGCTTTTGACGTACTGGGGGTACGTTATTCATGTGGTGAGCAATTCATGATGTCTGAAAAAGCGAAGTTGTTTGGAGATATGACGTCGTATGACAAAATTATGGCTGCAACAGATCCTAAGACACACAAGTTTTTGGGTCGAAATGTGCGTCCTTTCGACTATGCTGAATGGGAGCGTCGTCGTGAAGAGATCGTGCTTACGGGGTCGTACGCCAAATTTGCTCAAAACCATGACATGAAACATCATCTACTGGAGACGGGTACCCGCCTCCTTGCAGAAGCCAGCCCCTTCGATCGTGTTTGGGGTATCGGCATGTCTGCATGCTTTCCAGATGCTAGCGATTCATCCAAGTGGGCGGCTAGCGGTAAAAACTTGTTGGGAAAAGCTTTGATGGAAGTTCGACGCCTTTTGCGTGATCATCCCCTCTCTGGCGAAGATTTCCCCGCTTCCAATTCTCCCACGCCCCCCATTTCGCAGCCTCCTCTCCATGGACATCGACGCATTCATGAGGTTGCTACTGCTACAGGTTCTTCGCTACGGAAGGACCCGGGCGAAGACCCAGCTTGTCTACGTTTGGACGCTCCGGGGGACCATGCTCCTGGCGTTCATCTGGTGGCATCGACCTCCGCTTGTGCAGACCAGCCTCCTCTTCTCGAACATGGACCCGATCTGGTCGGCGGCACGCTCCTGTTGGACTCGGACTCATACACTACCCGGGTCCTGCTGCATGGAGGACCTACAGCCACTTCTCAACTCGCGCGAGTGGCGCTTCTGGACTCTGGGTCTCCTGCATCCTTCGTTTCCGACTCCGTGGTCACCGCCATGATAGCTGCCGGAGCCCTGACAGCTGGCAGCGTTCGTGTTTCGCCCTCTCGTCGTTGGGGTGGGTTTGGTGATGGACCCGCCCTTGTGACCACCCGGTCGATTCGTCTCACCGTTAATTTTCTCCATGGAGATAGAGCTACCGCTTCCTTGGCGGTCTGGGCCTGTGTTGTTCCAGACGCCGCCATGGGGCACGCCGTGCTTCTGGGTCGTGATAGCTGGATGCGCTTCAACTCTCGCGTGTTCACCACCCTCCCCCACCCTGGACCGGACGGCCGGGTTATGGGCGAGCTCACGCTCTCTCCGCGTTTTACAGCTGGCGCTTGCGTTTACGCTACACACGACGACGCTCCTCCCTCCTCGTTTCACCTTAAATATGCAGGGAGCTCGGGAATTTCTTTGGGGCCGGAGCCTGCACTCGTTGAGGTGAACCTCGTTCGTTCTTCTGGCATGCCTGCGCTGATTGGAGAGTATCTGGTATCGTTCAAACCCGAAGTGGGTGCGCTTTCGTCCCCAGATGCGTTCGTTTCCAATGGTCTCCAGCGTATTCCCCTTGCAGGTTGTGCCGAGCTCGAGCCGGGAGACGTAATTGGAGTGTCTGCCGCGCCGCTACTACGAGTACCGGTGGAAACCCTGAAGGCGGCACCATCTTCGATTCCTACCGGCCCCACAACATCTACATCACCACCTCGGGTCAACGCCGTTGGCCCCAAGTCCGGGACTCACCGCTCTCCGGACCCAGCCTCCGCCCCGCCTCCTCCGAAGCCGCCTCCACAAGAACTACTTGACCGCTTCTCTGAGGCACAGCGCTCCAGCTTCATGCGCTTGTGGGCTAGGCTGCCCGCACATATGCACGACATCGCTTTCGATCTACACAATCCGGGATGGACACCGGAGGCTATTGATCGTTTGGCCGACGCCCTTGTGGAGTATTCTGACGTGTTCTCTACTTCGAAAACCGATTTTGGTTCCTGCACCATAATGCCGTTCACGCTTTCTGTCCCAGCAGGGACGAAGCCCGTTGCATCACGCCCGTATCGTATCAACCCGTTGATGCAAAAGAAAGTGGATGCCGTTTTGGACCAGTATTTGGCGGCAGGGCTCATTCAACATTCCACATCTCCGTGGGCTTCTCCTTTAGTTGTCATCCCCAAGAAGGACGGATCTGTTCGCATCACCGTCAACTACAAACGTCTCATCGCTNTCGTATCAACCCGTTGATGCAAAAGAAAGTGGATGCCGTTTTGGACCAGTATTTGGCGGCAGGGCTCATTCAACAATCCACGTCTCCGTGGGCTTCTCCATTAGTTGTCATCCCTAAGAAGGACGGATCGGTTCGCATCGCCGTCAACTACAAACGTCTCAACGCTCTGGTGGATTAGGATGGACAACCTCTCCCTCGAGTGGACGGTATCTTGGATTCGTGTTCTTCATCTTCGACCTAAACTCGGCTTTCCACCAGATCGTTTGTTTTGAAGACACTGTCCCGCTCACCGCCTTTTGCCTTCCCACGCAGTTGTTCGAATGGCTTCGGATGCCGCAGGGAGCCAACGCAAGTCCGTCTTGGTTCGTCAAGGTCATCAACAGAGTGGTGCACGGTTTGGAGCGTGTGCTTGCTTATCTGGACGATGTCATCTGCTTCGATGAGGAACCCCTGGGACACGTGCTGAACTTGATCGAGTTCTTCAAACGACTGCGACAGTACAACCTCAAACTGTCGCCAGGGAAGGCTCGCGTCGGCGCCACGCACGCCAACTTTCTTGGTCACACCATCTCTCCGGCAGGTGTTGGCCCTGATGGCGTCAAGGTTAGGGCGCTCACGCACATGCCGCCGCCGACGAATGTTAAGCAGCTTCGGAGCCTTCTCGGTGGACTCAGTTACTACCGGATATTCATCAAGAATCTCGCCACCAAGAGAGAAAAACATTTGTGGCACGCAGTTCGCTGATTGGCCAACGCCCCCTGCGGCGGAATTTAAAAAACAGCAAAAAAA